TCTGTTGTACTGGTTCAGTTACGTATTGCTCCATTTTTGAAGTAATTCATACTATAAAACAAAATTTATTCAATGATTAAATAAATTAAGATGTGATCTTTGTAATTATTACAGGATGTTTATGAGCTATCAACTCCTCATCTCTGATGGAGAAAAATATATTAGTTGAACAAACTATAACAGCTGTGTCAGAAAGTAATCAACAAAACTGTAGTGCATCAAATTATCAAAAATTACACTCACATGATACTAATTCATCTAACTATGTATCAAACCAGCAGTTATTAAATGAACAATTTTCAAAAAAGTGGACAGAATTTTCAAAAGCAATAAGAATCTTGACTTGTTTTACAAAAATGTTCAGAAACATCAATAAAATATTTAACTATTTTAACAAAAATATACAAAGTAAAGTTACTCCAACTCAGCTGTAGAATTTGTTATTAATAGTGCTTCTAGGTAAATGTTTGTTTAGTATTACTGTTTCATAAATATATTGCAATATGCAATTGTATTATGCTGCTTCATTTTTATATTTTTCTTAGTTGTAACGGAAGACGATATCGTGTTCAACCTACTCTGAGCTGGTGAGACGTGGAAACTACAAGGTGCATCGCGATGTTGCAGGAAGACCTCCTACAACAACTCATTCCACAGCTGGTAAACATATAATCACAAAAAGCCTAGCGTCTTCATAATTTAACGCAATGTTTAAATTTAAATATAAATAATGCTAAATCTCACTAAAAATAATTATAAGGAAGTGTTTTTTCTATTATGCTATTGTTTGCAATAATATATTTTAAGAAATGCTGCAGTGTTGATTTTGTTGTAACCTTCTAGAAGAAACAAAATATTATATAATTATATAATTTATTATAGGTATCCATTTTTGAAACATAATAGGTAAGTATTTTATAAGAAAATAATATATAGTTTATGTAGTAATAATTATTTATTATACTTAGGTCAGTATTTTATAGGTAACTATAGAAACTATACTAAGTACCTAAATATTTTGAGTAGTATATAAATATTTTAAACTTATGTTAAGCAAAAATAATAAATAAATAATAATTAATTAATAACAATAAAATTATTTAATATATTTAAATTACAAGAGTTTAGCTTGTTTACTGTATAGCATGCTTAAGACTTAAAGTATAAATTAATTAACACCTCCTAATTAATAATTAATAAAAATATTATCAATACAATAAAATATGTATACACTGCAGTAGTTGTGGCCTATAGAAATAAATAAAATATATAATATACTTACCATATTTATTAGTAAACAAAGAAAATGATGTATGCCAAAAAGATGTAAATATACAATATATTTTGAGTTTTATAGTAGTTTTTTTAGACTGACTAAATATTTAATGTAATTACTATTATTTCATATAATAATATATAATATAAGTTATATGAGTATAATTTATAATTTAAAGGTAATATATAAATATTTTAAATTCATCATCACAATTAATAGGTAATTTAAAAAAAATAATATATTTGAAATAAAGTGATAAGAAAAATAATCACGATGATATGATATGAAACAATAATATTATGATATTTGAAATAAAGTGAAAAAACAGCGGGAATTCAAATCGGACCAATCAGAGCAACTAGGTTCTGAGTGTACCCACATTTGCAAATTACGCAATCCGGAGACGCGCGGACCGGACGAAAAAGACCCGCTCCGGGCCATAGCGTCGAGAACGCGACGGAAAGAGGTCTCGAAAGGCCGGAAAACCGGGCGAAAAGCGGAAAAAACGGTATACAAAAACAATAATAATGAGTAATGAGCAAATGAGCGATAACCGAACCGATAACGACGGCTGTTGGAGAAACGATAACGACGGGGAGATATGGGACACGACGACTGGAAGAAAAAAAACGGAATTTTTCGATTGGTCGGGACACTAAAGTGCCCGCGTTCTGGCGGATTTTTCGGGAAGCTCGTTTTGGTTTTATATTATAATGCCCGGTTGCACAAAAGATCAATAAAAACAGTTCAATAAGCTGTGATAACGGTCCAATAAACAGTCGGATAAATAACTTTATTGGTTCCTTAAAGTGTTGTTCGGTTGCACAGACATTTTTTTAACATTTTAATGGTTAGTGCTCTAACCATAGTTTAGATACCATGGTTACAAGAAATTATCATTCTATCATATATTTTTAATGTTATCAGTGTTAATTGTTATCGTTTTTATACTTTATTCAATAAACTCAATAAAGTTTATTGTAATAATTATTAATTATTAATTACCTACTAATTTGTAAATTTGTAATCGACTTTAAAATGTCTTGCATCAAAAAAAGAAGCAAGAATGTTTCCGACGCCGAGAAAGAGATTCTTATTGATCTCATAAAACCCAAACTTGCGATCATAGAAAACATTAAGGTGTGTATTTTAATTTATATATTTTTTTTTAATTATTTAAGAATCAAAGCACAAATATATATTTATATATTAAAGTATATAGCCGACTTTTAAATCATTGAAGTCTGTAGTTTGGCAGCCATACATAGATTGGGCAATGTAACTGATAATAAAAAATCGAATCTCAAACATTTGGCATATTTTATTGATATTTAATTATTATTATTCTATTGATCTTAAATTAATATTTATTACGGTTTAACACTCAAGTACTATTACTGAGTGCCCATGAAACATAGTTTTTGGTTCTACCATTTTCGAAAACCAAAAATCTTCAATTTTCATATTTTTGAAAAATTAAAAATTGTTTCTATTACAAAATTAATCATATCATTTTTGTTTCATATACTATGTAAAAAGACTGATAGTATTACAAACAAAATAAAAGGCAAGACATGGGAAGACATAACAATGGATTATAATGCATTGCAAACAACTGGCATAAGAACTATTGTCCAGTTAAAAGCAATGTTTGATATCATGAAGCGCAATACCAAGAAAGCCCAAAGCAGCGAAAAAGTAAATAATATTTTATTAAAATTATATTTATGTAATAAAGTATGTACTTATTTTAGTTAATGCTTGGTTATCCAATTTGTATATAGATCTAAATTATAGTTAAGTATTAAATGTTAAATTATGGACCTAATAAAATAATTTTGTTCAAATGTTTTTGGTATGTTAGATGACAATGAATTAATGATATTATTATTTTAGGTCAATACTTACTTACTCCAACCTAATGGACAAACGGAAAGAGAAAAAGAATTAATAGTTGATCTTATTTCATCAAATCAACTATCAATCGTATGTTATATATTTATAAATAATTTAATTACATATTTACATGTTAATTTTTCAAAAACAATTTATAATAGGAATTATGAAATTATTATTTTATTTATAGGATCAATCTGTTAATTTGGATTTTCAAACTCAAGCATGGGAAAATATTGCTGAGTCATATAATGAGCTACAAACAAGTGGAAAAAGATCAGTCAATCAATTAAAATTGTGCCAGGAAAATTTATTTAAAAAGGCTAAATTAGATATTAATAAAGAAAAAGTAAATAGTAATATTTCTTTTATGGTGTTTAATGCATTTATTTATACTATCATAATTTTGTATTTGTCTTCAGAAAGAAACCTACAAAACTGGAGGTGGGAAAGCTAATTGTCATTATACTACTACAAGTAGTAAAATTGCTGGTATGCTAGGTGAACGATTTCAATCACTAGAGTCTCCTTATGACTGTGATGGAGATTATCCTGTTGAAGTTTCATTAAATAGCCCAGATTTGTTTACATACGATATTGATCAAAATGTCAGTACTGTTAATGATGAGGGTTCAATATGTAAGTCATTATTAAATTAAATTAAAATAGTTTTTATTGTTAATGTTATATTCCTGAATAACATATTAAAATTATTTTATTATTAGATTGTGATCTAGGCCCAGATGATATAGGTTCTTCTGCAGATATGAGTGTTGTACAGCCAATTTCTATTGAATATAATGATGTGATAAGTGGTAAGAACTGAATTTTAAATTACATTTTATAGTAGAAGTAATATTTTTTTAAATTTTAATCATTTACTAGACAAGTTAAAAACCATCAATCAGCAGAGAAAAACAACCATTACACAACCTATTACAACATCTACACCTCTAAAAATTAATAAATCATCAAAACAATCAAATTCGAAGACAGCTTTTGAAAGTCTGAATGATATAACGTCACACCATTTAAGTACTTGTAACACAAAGAAAACATTTGTTGATCAATATAATGACGTAAAGCTTAAGAGAGCAAATGTTCAACTAGACATTGCAGAATTAGAAAAAAATATTTTAATTGCAAAACAAAAGGCAGATAGTGACCATTATCTTTCTCAAGCTAGACAAAATAAAATGAAGGAAGAGATTTTAGAACTTAGTCTAAAAAATAGTTTAAAGGAAATATGATTTTGTTATTTATTGGAACTACTAAAAACTAAAATAAATTTTGAAACGGTTTGTTTCAAATGTATATATAATTTTTAAACCTAGAATTTGTTTTATTGTTAATTTTTATATACTATTCAAGGAATAAATTTATGTTATTGTTAATTTTTATATACTATTCAAGGAAAGAATTTATGTTATTGTTAATTTGTATATACTATTCAAGGAAAGAATTTATGTTATTGTTAATTTTTATATACTTGCTATTAAAACTAAAAGAAATGTTACAAATTTAAAAAAAATTGTTTTTATTCTTATCAGATAGACTTGCACAAAATAGCACAACACAGTTATTAACAGTTACAACATATATAATAATATAGCTTATATATATTTAGTTATATTGTTAGACGTTCATACATCTATTAAGAAAAATAGTTTTCAATCAAATTATTTCTTACAGCATTTCCAACTTGCTGTACTGGCAAAGCGTCTAGTTCTTCAAATAATTCATCATCTATCTGCAGATCATTTTGTGGCATTGTATCATTTTGTTTTAACAAAATATTGTGTAAAACAGCCGTAGCCACAATAGTATTCAATGCTGATTTTGGTTGAATACGTAATCCAACAGACAAAACTGGAAAACGCCGTTTCAGCACCCCAAAAACTCTTTCGATCACATTTCTGGTTCCGATTTGAGCATTCTATAAATTCAATTTTTTTTTTCTTAACCATCATTATTAAAAAACTATTAAGTACATTGCTAATATTAATTTTATTTACTTGATACTTTTTTTCTGCAGCTGTGGTAGGATTTAACAATGGAGTCATTAAATATTTTCTGCAGGGATATCCACCATCTCCGAGAAGAAAACATCCTTTGAATTCATTATTTTCAAACTGTGCACGTAATAAACTATTATCAAAAATAGTACTATCATGTACAGATCCTGGCCATCTGTATAAATAATGCATTAAACACAACTGATACACCCATAAAATAATTTTGAAAGTATCAATTTCACTATTACCTAGCTACAATGTTCATAATTTCCATTTTGCTATTACATACAGCTTGAACATTAAAGGAGAAGTAACCTTTTCTATTCCTAAACTGTTCTCCTATATTGCTGTTCGGGGATTGGATTTTAATATGCGTGCAATCAATTGCACCAATTACTTTAGGGAATTGGCAGCGTCTATAAAATCCAATTTGAACTTCTTGTAGTTCGTTTTGTGTTTTTGGCATATTTATGAATAAAGGACGAAGGCAAGCTATACATTTTGACACACGTTTTATAATTCTGCAAACAGATGACTTGTGCACTTGAATATGATCACCAATAACAGTCTAAATAATTGAGACACAACTATGTCAATTAGGTATATAATATTATATATTACATTTTATAATTATTATTCCATATTATACCATTACATTTTTTGTTTATAATTATTTAATAAATGTATGGCTCATAAATGAATACATTTAGATAACTTACTTGAAATGCTCCAGTCGCATAAAATCTTAACGCTATTAATAATTGTACTTCTGGTTTTATTGCATAACTCCTATTAGTATCATGTTTTATGTCTTTTCCAATTACATTCAATAATATCATAAAGGTATTCTTCGTTAACCTACGGGGTACACAATTTGTAATTATTTTTATTTAAAATCTAACCCAATATTAATTATACTAGGATGGTAATAACACAGGGACAACATAGGTAAATTTAAACATGTTAGGTACATTTCTGTATCAGTTTCCTTCTCAAGTTGTTGAAGAAAACACATTCTGGTTAAAATAACACATTGTAAGTTTATTATTATTTCATGATTGTCACAACAATTTTTTATTTCTTAAATTGAGGCAAATGTTAATTTAAAATTGTGAACTGGATTTTTTTATACTAACAACCCCCCAAATATGATTGCTAGAAAATGTTTACATAGAATTACATTGCAAGATATCTTTATAACACATTATATAAGGGTGTTTATATGAAGGTAAACCAGAAACCTTGTCAAAACCATTTATATTTACCCCTGTTGACTCTCATATAGAGTATAGACTTACCTGAATCTATTTTTAAAATCTAAATCATCATAATGTTCAAGAGGATTAAAACGATCTCTGTATAATCGTGGTCGAGGAAGGTTTATCAAAACTTCAAACACTTCATGTTCTTCATCGGAATTCGATGATGATGATGATGATGATGATAAATACATTACTACTTTGACAAAGTAGAGAAGTTACCCGCTGGTATTCGTATTGACTTCGATATTAGTAAACTATAAACTGACAAACTGTAACTTACCTAACACTGATGAAGCAGAAAATAAGGTTGAACTCGTTTCAAAAATATTTAATTAAAATATGACAAATAATAATATTACCTTATCAGTTATCACAAAATAATTCGATATTATCAGATCAATAAAGTTATAGAACTCTTTTGAATATTTATCGAACCGAAATCAGGTCTACAACTTATCGAACCGATAACACAATATTTATTGGATTGATAAAACTTATTGATCCTTTGTGCAACCTGTCAAATTGTTATCGATTCGATAACCTGGTTATTGGACCGATAACTAGTTATTGGTCGTATGTGCAACCGGGCATAAGACTATTAAATATTAATACTTAAGAGGGCGTCACAGTAAAAGTGAAACGTATACAACGCTCAAGAGATGGCGTTGAATTTCATATCGCCGCCGTCGCGGTAGGCCGTAACCACGCCTATCGTGTACGCGACGGGGTCCGCGTGTTGTTATTGCGGGAGAGGTACTTTATTATTTCACAGACTGTCGTTTAGAACGTTTCGCGTCAAACGTCATTACAGGCCGTTACGTAAATTGTCGCCCGTGAATTCTATACGGTGCACTGACTCGCTACTGGCTAGCAAGTCGCAAACCTATTTTTTAATTAAAGCTCCTGTTTGCTTAAAAATATTAACCAATAAATTAAGCATACAAATTATTATACACCAGAACTCGATTTATATTTCTAACCCAATTACTTTTTAAAATACATATAAAATAATAATTTCATTACGATTAAATAGATTTTTTAGTAAAAGTGTTACGTATTTTACGTTGTAACTTATAAATGACATGAAGCAATTTTTGTTCGATAATTTAATTTTTTATTTATTAATAACATTTTAAATAGTTCTGATTAGTAAATATTGATGTATTTACTTATTTTAATTTTAAACATAATACCTACATAAAATATGAAGTTGATTGTTGTACATAATATTTATTAAATAAATACCTACTGTAATAATATAATTATTTATATTATTGCAATTGCAGTACCTATATGTAAAAAAAAACAATATGTATAAACTAAACATTTTTATTGTTCATATAATATATATAAATTAAAATTAAATTATATAGGTACTTACAAATGTACAGAACACATTTATTTACACATAATAATTAATTAAAACACAACATTTGGATTAATGACAATTTATAATAATTGATAACTTAAATTAATGCTAGCGGTTATATAGATAATGAATAACTGACTTACTATAATATTATATTACACCTATACTTTAATTTTAAAAATGTCATAATATGTACGTGAAATTATCTATATAAAATTTGCATAGTTATGTGTACAATAATAAAATGTAATATAATACATAACATTATACAATTAACATTTTATGTATTTATTTTGCGTTGTAATAAAAAAAAAATCATCTGCAACAATATTTATAGTTCCATATAAAATTAATTTTTATAGAAACTAAATAATTTAATATATTAATAAATACTTATGATACAAATATTTTTAAATAAAAATGGGTACAAATATTTTTTAATTTTTTAATTTTGACGGTTTTAAACCATTTCAAACGGAAGATTTGGATAAATATTGGTTTTATTATTATAACGCCGAACATTTTTTCTTTCCAAAGAGTCACCATCAAACTCTTAATTTTTATTGTATTTTTGTTTATGAGACTGGAGTATTAAGTTATGGGTAATGCTAGAAAAAAATCCTGCTAAAAGCTTTGTACTCCACCCAAAGGTTTGATATAAAAAAGTTATATTAATACCTGTGTCAACAATAGTTAATACTAATTTTGCAACAAAGAATATTCCCATTAGCCCAGATACAAAAGTTCCAATTGTCGTAAACCAACCCCATATTTTAAATAACTTATCTTCTACCATTTTTCCAAGCGTGTTTTCATCTATCAAATATTTGAATTGCAGACCTTGGTTAGTGGTATCATATCCCATAGATTGTCTGATTATATTATTCGTAGCAGCTTTCACTTCTTGCGGAAACAATATATGCTGTTGGAAAGCTTTCATTGTATCCTGCGTATATTTACCGGCATTCATAAGAAATTCCGGACTTTTATACGACCATGTCCAGGACATGGCCAGTTTAAGCCTTTGTGGTTTTTTAATTTCTTGAATATTTGGCAGAACGGCAAACCATTCACCGCCCAATTCGAACGCAGGTGGTAAAAGCACATTGCAGTCCACCTGTGTTCCAAATTACTATAAAATATGGGTTTTGGGCGCCATAAATAATGTTTTGTTGTTATATAATACTGGCAGTTCATTAAAACAATTTCTTTTTTGTGAAATTTCTACGTTGAATTTTTTACATTTTATTAAGTAGATAATTTCACTGACTTTTATTGCGGTAAACCCTGGTCCACCACCTATTAAATATGCCAATTCTGAAAGACTAGAAGATGCTAATGTGAGTCGTTGCTCAAGTAATTTTCTGTCTAGCTCACATTGTTTAAGTAGTATATCGTTATACAACGATGTAATAGTTGATTTGAAGAAATTTTTGACATAAACAAATTTTGTGTTTATGTAAGCTAATAAATTAGTATTTTGAGCAATTATGGTTTTTCGTGTGAAATAATTAAAAAATGTAGGTTCTGTTAAAATTAATAACTGCATATGTTCAGTTCTGAATAACTGGGATTCCTGTGCAAGCGAACGTTTTTTTGACTTTTTTTAAAACAAAGACTATTTTGTCAGTCTCCACAATATAAGTATATGTATTTGAACTTTCATCAATAATTGACGTAATTAATGACGCTGGTACATTATATAGGACACTGATATCGTGTTCTTCACAGTTTATGTTATTGTTTGACCAGATAGTTTCACCTTTAAAAGCATCAATGCCGTAATTGTCTGATAACTTAAGTTTTGTACCTGTTGGAAGTATATCCACTATTCGTCTTCCCGAACTTTCATTTACATCGCATGGTCTGTTATAACATTTTAATAATAATATTTAATTTTTAAAACTGTTATAACCAATATTCGAAACGGATGAAATACGCTGGTTTTTCAAAAATAATAACAAATTCGCGAATTAGTAGACTCATATATTCAATCAAATTTTAAATTAAAAATCATACTTGGATTCTTGATTACTACATATAAATTCATCAAATGTCAAGTTATGTAAAACTTTTTCAGTACCCCAATCATTAGTTTCATTATCCCTCAAATCCACCATTTTGCTAAAAAAATTTAATAAAACATATGTATTATAAATAAAAAATAATTATAGTTTTAGTTTTCATACAATAAAACTTAGATGGCTACAAATAATTAAAATTTACCTAATTGTTTCCCTCGATGAGCATGGTGGTTGATTGCCAGCACCTAAGGAAAAAGATTCCACAACAGGTTCTACGACATCTGGGTTGGAACTTTGTTCACACGAATTTAGTCAAATTAATAACCATATTTGATAATAATATAATAAATAGTTATACTTAGTTTTGGCACGAATTCCTAGAATATTCATCACTCGAGAACTCAGCGATTTTTTAACTGATAATTTTTTTTGATGGGAAGCGATGAGTTGTTTTTTTAGGTTGATCCATTTTCACGTTAAAAAAATTTAAAAAAATATAAAACCGTAATAAAATTCCAGTGAAAATCTAAGTTATTACTGATGTTAACAGTTAGACAAAATGACAATATTTGATATTTACTGTCATAATTTATAATCAATAATTGAATAATTAAATATTATTTAGATACTCACCCTCTTTCATGTTACCGACGGGCGACGACGTGAATACGATAAGTGTTGATAACAAATAAGAATGATATTCATGATCGGTTTCTATTAGATATGACTTAATAGCCATGAAGTTGGCCCGTGTGTTTGACCGTAAGATAATATTAGATCTAATTGCTTTACATGTGAATCCCTAAGGGCCCACAATGCGAGTTAGATCTTTATGTATTGTACTAAAATCAGTTATGTTTGTTAGGACGATACTTGGAAGTTTAACATTACTTTGTTTTGGTGAGGTTTCGTTAGATTGTGTAACGAGTAGAGCTTCTTTTGTGACGAAAACGTTATCCTGTTCATCCGTTTCCAAGGCTTGGAATCGGTTTGGCGAGACAAAAAATTTGCTTTTTTTATCCTCATGATCTGGTGAGTTGGTTGAGGTTGACGATAGAGCTCTCTTTGACGAATTATCTCCCGTTTTCTTTTTTTGAATTTTGTTCTTGTTTATAATGACGATTGGTGAGACGATATTCGCCATTAGCGTGTTTTTAATGACTCAATTAATGAAAATTGGTTTGATAACAAAACGCATTACGAACGGAACGCACATGTTACCGTTATGGCTGTCTGAGCCCGACTTATAATACAGTTTAAAACCATATTTAAAACTATCAAAAGTGTATGAAGTGTATATTATAGTGAGTTTTACATTTACAGTTTAAACTTGATCCAACCTCTGAACGATCTGAACCAAGTTCAAACACTATTGTAAAACAGACTCATAAAGAATCTTTTTCCTCCCATTCTAATATAAATAGTAAACACCTATTATATTATTCTCTAAAAATCCTGGTACCTACATACTTATACCTACATTATATTTTTTTTAAATTTTATAATTATCTTGGTAATATTATATATATATATTATGTTGCAATATTGTACATAATAATGCATATTTTGTAATATTTACCGGTAACTTTTGGTTTACCTGGATTTACATAACTATTTTGTTTCTAAAATTAATTTAAAAGTGAACCGAAGGTATTTATTACAAAATACGAGAAGTGTACCGTCAATTTATCGTAAACAATTTACCGCGCGACAATTGATTGCAAACCAATTGATCGCAATTGCAATTTACCGCACAATAATTGATCGCAAACTATATAGGTTATTTCAGGGTTATTTTAAGGCCAATATTATTTTTTCGTAACTTTATTCGATCGTTAACGATCAAGTCTTATCTAACATTATACTCGTACCCTATTTTATCAGTCCGTATTTTTCCCTAAGTCGTATAGAATATAGATCACCATGAAAATATATCAGTACTGACACAATCGTCAATCGGTATATACTAATAACTTCGTCTAGCCGAAGTACTGTACATAGAATATGGCTTTAGAGTTTAGAGTACGTATTAACCTTCGAGCGGGCGCTCATTTTGCAGTTACACACGCGGCGCGCGACGGTATTAACACCGCATAATTTAGAGCTGCATTTGAATTTATGTTTATTGTTTATATCAGCGGTTCTCAACCTGTGGTACGCGTACCACTAGTGGTACGCGGAGAGCTCATAGGTGGTACGCGAAGAAAATCTTCCTTTATAAAAAAAATTGGTACGAATTATTATTAACATTAAATATTATTTGGTTTATTTAATGTTTATTTGATGGTGTGGAGGTCGTTTGTAATCGTAGCAATTAAGATAACGATATTCTCATTAATATAGTATAAATTTTATATTATAAATCGATAAACTTTATTGGATAAGCCCGACAAAGCGTATTCTTATTTCACAATTATGTGTTTTTACCTTAGTTTCGTGAGTTCCTTCAGTTTATTCACGAGTGGCATACGCGTTGTTTGCATCAAGTGTATTTTATATTAAAATTTTATATTTTTATGTAGTTTTTTTCGTACTTTTTTTTGATATAAAATTTAGTAAAATGAAAAGATTTTTAGAAAGCGAAAGCACAAATACTAAAAAACAGAAAACACAGGCGAATCGTAAATATGACGATAGTTACTTACAATTTGGATTCGTTGTAAAATTTGGTTCTGAAAATTCTACTCCGTTACCTCAATGTGTAATTTGTCAAGAAACACTTTCAAATCAAAGCATGAAGCCATCGCTACTTAAGCGCCACCAATTATCGAAGCATCCAGAAACAGAAAATAATCCCATTGAATTTTTTCAGAGAAAATTAACTGCATTCCGAAAGGAATCGAAATGCATGTCTAGTTTTACAAACTTTAATGAAAATATCGTTAAAGCATCTTATTTAGCGAGTTTAATTATTGCTAAAAATGGAAAACCACACACAATTGGGGAAACACTAGTGTTGCCAGCAGCAAAAGAAATCGTGCGATGTGTTCTTGGAGACAAGGCTGCAAAAGAGATTGAAAAAGTGTCACTTTCAAACGATACTGTCAAAAGAAGAATTGATGACATGTCGTCAAATATAAAAAATAAATTATTGCTTTATTTGAAAGATTGTAATTTCTTTGCTCTACAAATTGATGAGAGTACTGATATTACTAACATGGCTCAATTAATGGTATTTATACGTTTTGATCGCAATGATGAAATTATTGAAGAGTTTTTGTTTTGTAAGCCTTTACAAACCCACACAACATCTGAAATTATTTTTACCACCATTAATGAATATTTGATTGAAATAAATCTGCCGTGGAGTAAATGTGTGGGTTTTTGTTCTGATGGAGCAAGGGCAATGACTGGAAGGCTGAGCGGAGTTGCAACAAGAATAAAAAAAGTTGCCCCATTATGTAAAACTATGCATTGCATGATTCACCGGCAAGCATTAGCATCTAAAAACATGCCTAAAAGTTTAAAATTAGTTCTTGATAGTGCTGTAAAAATCGTAAATCTAATCAAAGCCAGACCTCTCAATTCAAGACTATTCACAGTATTATGTAATGAAATGGGCAGTACTCATAAATCCCTTCTTCTCCACACAGAGGTAAGGTGGCTTTCACGAGGAAAAGTCCTCACCAGGCTATTCGAGCTAAGGTCAGAAATTTTATTACTTCTGACTGATATTGATGAAGAAAAGTCCAAATTGTTTTGTGATGACGAATGGCTGTCAAGACTAGCTTACATGGCTGACATATTTGATCGTTTAAATATTTTAAATTTAAGTCTGCAAGGTTCAAACACAAACATGTTTTATGCTAGTGATAAAGTTAATGCATTTGTGAGAAAATTGGATTTATTTATTTCTCAAGTATCTAAGAATGATCTTTCAGCATTCGAGACACTAAACACATTTTGGAAAAATAACGAAATTCAGCCAAATTCAAATATAATTACAGACATTTCGGAACACCTGCAATTACTAAAATCCAATATTTTACAATATTTTCCAGAGGATAACTCAGAAATGAAATGGATCATAAACCCTTTCGAAGATGATTATATTAAAAACATTCCAGAAGGTATTTTGGCAAAAGAATTATTTATTGACTTAACCAGTGACTCTACCCTAAAAACCGCTTTCAAAACCAAAAATATCACTAATTTTTGGCTGGACGTGAAACAAGAATACTCGGCATTGTCCACACAAGCTTTACAGTTTCTAATCCCTTTTGTATCAACATATCTGTGTGAAAATACATTTTCTCACTTATTTTACACAAAAAATAAATATAGAAGTAGATTAAACGTAGAAAATAATTTAAGACTTCAAGTTAGCAATTTGGAGCCCGATATTGACGTCATTGTCCGTTCAAAACAACAGCAATCGTCTCATTGAAATAAAAAGTAAACCATAATAATTATAATAATTTTACATATTTAATTTTTTTTTTTATTTTTAAGTTTTTTTCTTTCTGTGCATTACTCAATTAAATACTTTATTTTTTATTATATATTTATATATTTTATATTATCTCATTTTGTAATTCCTAATGAAATAAAATTCTATACATACATATAACATAAACGTATACATTATTAATAAGCAAAAAAAAAAAAATGGTCAGGTGGTACGTAAAAATTTTCAAATTGTGTAAATGGTACGTGACTATAAAAAGGTTGAGAACCGCTGGTTTATATGAATCTTATAGTTTTTTCAATAGACAATATTAATCCGTACGTTAATTTAGAATAAAAAAATAATTGAATGTTGTGAAAATAATGTTGAAGAAACATATTTATTGACTAATATGCAAAGAATATTAAAATAATATGAACATTTATATTCAAAAAAACATATATTTATGAACAAATAAAGTTGAAACCAGTCTTTTATTTTCTATGACGTCCTCTTTTAACAAAATAAATTATATAAACATCCTTTTTATACATTTTTGAGTTAATTAAACGATAACTTACTAAAACTTTATAATACATTGGCAAATTATTATACTAACATAAATAAACAGATGATACAATAACAATCTTATTAGACTTTCATATAACATAAGTAGATACAAAACAAAATTACAAAATAAGTGTTTTTGAGAAATAGACTTTAAACTATAACTAAATTTTTTAAATATCACTTTCTTGTGAACAAATAAAATGAGAAATTTTTGTTACGAAAAAATACGAATGAGAAAAAAAAATTAGTTATACGTCCTCAAAATATTCTTGGTCGTCACTTTCGGGTTGCACACACGAGTTACATCGAACAGTTTTGGTTGAATGATTTTTACAAACGTGATTACCACATTGGCAGCAGGTTGTCGACGTTCTGTTGTTTTTTCTTTTACCACACAAAACGCAAGCTCGACTTTGTGCTGGAGGAATAGGTTCGGCAGGTGGTTTGTATTTTTCCAAAAATACCTTGATATCTTTAGGAAGGCTTGCAAATGTGGCTCGATAATTCAGATTTTCTCTCATTAGGTTGAGCGCTAGGTTGAATGTGTATATTCTTCGGACAATGGTGGAGTCTGGATTATTGGCTTTAAAAATCTTGTAGGAATTGATTGCTGCTAAATCGAGAAGGCGGAAAAATACTACCATTGGCCACCTACGAGTATTTCTCAACGTGGAACATCTGGCACACATCAAATCTACCGTGTCTACTCCACCTTTAGTAGCGTTGTAATCCATTATTTGGTTTGGTTTACCTGTACCTTCATCAGTGAAATTATCATCGTGCATTGAAGATAACACAAGTACAACTTTTTTCTTTTTCGTCACCATAGATACTAGCGTCATGTCTGGTTGGGCACCGAATTGATGTGTACCAGGTTCCAAATTTCTATGCTGAACAATAAATTCGGGAGGTATTTCTTTTTTGTTTTTTTTTTTAGGGTGCCCATAAAAGTTAATCCGTTTTTTAGTAAGTTTTCAGCTAATGGATAACTGCTAAACCAGTTGTCGGTTGTAACGTTTCGCTTTGATTTTTGAATAGGTTCAGTTAGTCTGGTAACTATATCATAGGGCTTGTTCGATGTCGCAAAAGGGCCCGTGTCTTGCTTTCCACAGTAAATTTCTAAATTATACGTATAAAACGTTCGGGCATCGCACAGTGCATACATCTTTAGTCCATATTTAGCCGGTTTTTTGTTCATGTATTGAATGAATCCACAGCGGCCTCGGAAAGCGACTAACATTTCATCAATAATGGCGAATTCGCCGGGAGTATATGACTGTTGGGAGTTAATTACAAAGCAATTCAATAGGTCTCGTATTGGGGCCAATTTATCATTTTTTACCCGATCTGTCCTTGTACTTATATCATCGAAACGTATGCACCTCATAAGAAATCTGAAGCGCCTCTCACTGAAATTGGCACGTAAAATCATAAGACCGGTTCCATTTGAGGTAAACAATTCACTCAAATTTGTTCTATTAGCCCTCTTTACAGCAATCAAAAATAAGGCCCCGAAAAAAGCTTGTATTTCTTTTTGATTTGTTAATCTAAAATCACGGTCCCTACTATTAGGGTTTGCAAGTTTTCTCCATTGAATGTAAGTATTTATGTGTGAAACTATTTTATCGACTATATCCAGAGAAAAAAATTGTGAAAAACATTCAATTTCTGTTTTACATTGACGAGCAGCTCCTTTTGGGCCGGGAAAAATCTTGATTATATTTTTTGATTTTGTTTTTGAAATACTTGCTATTGGTTCGTTAGCCCACTAAGTCTCACCATCTTTACCAATAAAAAAACGAAAATTCTCACCTACACTTTCTTCAATTTCATCTGCAGTGGACGGTGAATCTAATTCCTCTTCAGAATCACTGTCATGATCCGAGTTTTCAATTACCTCTGGCTCGAAATCAGGATTATCATCATGATCTGAGCCATAGTCATCAAGTACATCATATTCATTATCCTCATCTTCCAATTCTTGAATAATCCTTTCAATGTCTTCTGGTCTGTTATAGTATTCATTACGCTGTCGATGATACCTGGTAGGTACAAACAATAAACATAATAATATAGTACCTACATAATAATAATAATAATAATAATAATAATAATAATAAAATTATAAAATAATAATAAAAAATAAATAATAATTAATTATAATAAAAATAATAATAATAATAATAGTCATAATAAAATTATAAAATAACACTTACATATTAAAATATTAGCGATATCAGGCGCAGGTTGAAATAGAAACGGCAATAGGCGCATAACGGTATTAACACCGTAGTTACATATTCATTGGAAGTAATCGTGTTTGAAACTAAATAACAGCGCACCCGAAAATGCTAAAATTATAACAACTGCCTTATCTTACGACTAGATAAGAAATTAGAGATTATCTAATGGATAGGTTCGCTGCATGAAACTTACAACGAATGGGCGCGATTATTTTTAAATGTGCGGTGTAAAAACCGTCCACGCGCCCGCTCGAAGGTTAAGCGAAAAAAATAAGTATATGCTTATTTATCAAGGTTTTTTATACGTAAAAGAACGAGAACATGACAATAAAACATACTGGAAATGTTCTGAATACAAAAAAATTCACTGCAAAGGTCGTTTACACGTAGTAGACTACAAAATTACTAAATGTATTGAACATAACAATCACGTTCCAAATGCAGCAAAAATCGAAGCGAAAAAAGTTATTTCAACTTTAAAGAAAAATGCATCACAAACAACTCTCAGCACACATTCAGTTTTAGGAAACGCAGTTATGCAGGTAATTCATATTTTAGTTACATATAGAAATGGAAAAAATAATTAATTATTCAAATTAAACTAAATTAGGTAACAAGTGCAGTTTCCGCAGAAATGTCGAGTGTTAATATATTGAAAAGGACAATTCAACGTGTACGCCAAAAGGAGGAAGCGGCACCAGCTAATTCAATTAATTTTGAATTTATTATACCAGATAAATATAGATATAACTCCAATGGTAAATTATTTTTAAAATTCGATAGCGGTCCTACTGAATCACGTATTTTAATATTTACAACTCAACAAAATTTAGATTTTATGAGTGAATGTGATAATTGGTTTTGTGACGGTACATTTTCAGTGACACCTCCCATTTTTGCTCAGTTATATACTTTACACGGGGTATGTTATCCCAACGTTATTCCTAGTGTTTACGTAAAAATAAAATATATTACTGCCAAATAAAAAAGAAAAAACTTACCGTCACATGTTTGAAATTTTAAAATCACCGAAGTTAAATTTAAATCCAAAAAGTGTTATGATAGATTATGAAAGAGCACAGGGCCGGCGTTAGGTAATATTTGTGAGGGGTCGTGGTTAACAAAAGTGACGACTGAAATTCATGCATAACTATAAAACCCTAAAAATATTTTTTTGCAACACTCAAAATGTCAAGTTTCTGTTTCTAGTGTTTCTACTGATCCAAACTATGTTGAAGCAAAAACTCAGCGTCGAAATTTTGATTTTTTTTTTACAGCGCCATCTAGTGTATATATTTTTCAATTTCAATATTCACTATTAATTATGATATTGTTCTAGAGTAAGAATTCGTCAAACCGTTTATAAATAAAACAATAAAACTATAATAATGTTTTTGTATCATATGATAAAGATAAATAAAATCCTAGAGACGTTCTTCAATTATTTAAATCACTATTTACCAACAGTATTGCCTTTTTACTTAAAATTTTTGATTGAAGCAGATTTTTTAGCATCTCTATCTATTTTGATTTTAAATGGGTATCATAAAACAATAACTATTTTTTATAACAAATAAGTATTATAGTATATTACATTTTACAAAATATCATTTAATATAAAACATTGTCAGAATATGCATTCAAAAAAAAAAAACAAAAATTATAATAAATTAATATATTATAAGTATATATGTATATTACACTGAAATCCTTCTTTCTTTTAACGATGCCCATATTTGTATCATATTTGTCATTTCAATATTATCTAAAATGTCTTTCTCAGAATCAAGTATAATCAAATTATTTAATCGGAAACTGGTCATAGTAGTTCTTAAATGGTTTTTGATTAATTTTAACTTGCTGAAACATCGTTCATTTGAAGCTGTGGTAACTGGTGATGTTAATGCCAAACGACAAAGTTCATTAGCCATAGGAATTATAGACCTTAATTTGTTGGCTACATCCATGACATTAGCCAATGATTTAGCATTTTCAGTTTGTAGCCTTAATATATTTATCTCACATAATGCGCTATTGAAATCTGTTACACTAGACATATCACAGTTTTTCGGAAATAAGGAAAATGCTTTTTCTACATCTTCTACAGTTATATTTGAACTTATAGGCACTGATAATACTTTAAAAAGTGGTTGAATACAAACCAGACAAGATTTCAAATTTTCTGATGACAAACTGATTAATGTGTCCAGAACTTGAAGAAATTCTTTTCTGTAAAAGTCTTCATAAGTCAAGTATACATGTGATTGTTGATTTGAATCAATTTTTTTTGGTTTTAATCTTTTTCTATGATGTTGATTAAAATCCCCATCAAAATCAATATCTAGTTTTAGACAAAATGATTTGGCACTGGCTATAAGTTCATTTATCAGTGTACTATTGTTTCTAGTTTCTGTAAGTGATTTAATCGAACTATCAATTAATATCAGTGCGTCTACTATATTTAGATCTTTGGTTTCCAATGTTTCAGTCAATATTTTCATTTGGTACATTATATGGTTCATGAAGTACATACAAATGATAAAATCAATTGATAAACATTTCTTTTCAAGTCCTAATGCTTGTACTCTAGTTTTTTTATCAATAGTTGATTTTGTAGATATTTCATGTAAAACTGAAACAATTTCTTCAAAAGACAGCCAAACCGCCAGTAGAAATTCTGCCCTGGCAGTCCATCTGGTCTTAGACAAATTACGAAGCTTCAAAGATCCTTCAATTTTTGATAGAGCTTTATCTAAAGTTATACTTCGTTTAGTACTTGAAGAAAAAAATACATACAAACTTTCTAAGGTGAAAAATAAGTCACAAACTATAATGCTTGCTTCACAACTATGTTCTACAAATGTATTTAATCTATGGGCCTGGCAAGGGATATATGGTATATGATAACCAACTAGTTCAGATAACATGGCTTGAGCTCCTTGAAATTTTCCGGACATACTGCTTGCATAATCATATGATTGAAATGCAATACGTTCCAAATCAAGACAATTTTTAGTCAACACATCACAGATATTTTGAGCTGTACCTTTTCCAGTTTTATCAGTTACTTCCAATAATTCAAGTAATCGCTCTAATACTTTTCCTGATGAATCCACATAACGGACACAAACCGACATCTGGTCACGATTAGACAAATCTGGGGTAGTATCTGCCATAACTGAATACATTTTTGCCGCATTTACTTCATTAACTACTTGATTTTTTGTTTCCAAAGCAAGTAATGCGATGAACTCATTTTGAGAGTCATGACTCATATAATTAACGTGATAAGGTCGAAATTTGGCTTCTTCTATCCAAGTCTTCATAACTGGACAGTGATGTGATAAAAGTAAAACAAGTTGATTAAAGTTCCCATTTTTCTCATCTCTGTCTCCTCTGAAAGGTAATCCTTGACGTGCTAAAGTACGAGATACATCAAACAAAATTTTAATCACATCTTTATGAAATTCTTTCTGCTGAATAAAGTTTATGGCTTTTTTTCTATGTTCCTTATTAAGAAGTCCATCAATATGATTAGAATGTAAAATAAAATTACTGTAATCGTTCAATGCGAATTGGTGTGATTTTGATGTAAAATGTAATTCTAATTTTCCTTTTCTGTTTTTACCTTTAGATTTCATCTTGTGCTATGTCCTAACTCCTTCTTTTGTCCATGATGTTTCACCACATGAACGATTCGGGCCAGTAGAAAATAATCCACATATAAAACAGTAAATTGAATCATTATGTACACTGTACTCTAAATATGGATATTCTGTGAACCAATTTGAATTAAACTGTCGTTGTCTTCCTTGAGGTATATCGACGTTTATAGGATATCTTGGTAATTTTGGTTGAAAAGGTCCTAAGCTTAATAAATAATTTCGTTGAGAGGACGACTGAACTTTTTCTCTTTTTCCAGGGTCGTGGTCCAAGAGTTTATCAATTATATTATTATTTCCATTATTGTGACCTAAAGATAATTCTGATGTCAGTACAGATGTAGCCATATTTACAAATTCATTAGACTTTTCCTTGATGGAAGAAATCATACTGATACTTTCAATTAAAAAAGATATAGGATTAGGAATAAAACATTAGTAACTTTTGTAAGGAGATTATTGCATTCACTTAACATACAAAGTAACGCAGATAATTGTCCAACACAATCTAACCATGTATGGTCTGTGGTAGGTACTAGTGATATATCAGCTTGTTCACCAACTTCCATGATGCATTGATTGTTTTCTACTTTTTCACAAATGTTTTCAATTTTACTCTGCATTTTCAAACTACAAAAATAAATAATACCTAATTCAGTTTTTAATAGACCTGAACATATTTGTTGGCAAGGCTGGGCACTAGACTGATAGGTAACTAAATTTAATATTTGATATTATAATATGTGTGGATAATTAATTACATTTTAATGATTAATTTGGTAATTATAATTTAGTATGGTTGTGGACGTTAGGTAAACTAATAAATAAAAATAATTATTTTGTTGAATTACTTCATACACAAATTTATTTAAAACTTAAACTTAACAAGATTTAAAAGAATGAATATAATCTGTATTTTCTCATGGAATTAATTTGCAATTTTTTAATTTTAAGCAATTTAGGTATGAAAATATTTAATATTTAAAATACTCATACTTTTTTAAAAATTTAAATCTTAAAAAAATTATAGATAATATTCTTGCTTTACAAATTGATAATCAATAAATTCACTTAAATATTAAAGCTAAGTGCTAACGACACCAAATTGTTAATGCTAAACAAAAATTTGTTATGGCGGACATCCATATGACACAGACAACACATGTGGGTGTGCATACATGTAAAAAGTTCAAAAAATATCAAGCATATCAAAATATGGTCTTTAACTTTTAGTAGGTATATTTAAAAATTCCAAAAATCAGAATTTAAATAACTACATTATTAAAAAAGAAGGGGGGAAAGGGCATACTAAGTCAATCATCTTACATAATACTATCAGCAATAGATAAAAATGATAATTTACTAATTTGTATTTTTATCCCTTATAGCTGTATAATTTCTGTTTTGTTATACCAAAGTATAATTCAAGTATTTTACCTTCATGTCTAAAGTATTTCCAAACACAATGTCTGAGTCAGTTTTCGTTTGTACAACATCTGATGAATCCACTAATGACACTAGTGAGATAGACTGATCAGGACTCTATAATACAAAGTATAAACAGTTTTAAAATAATACAATTTATCTATAAAATAATTTACCTTATTATAAATTACAGGACTTAAATGCCTAAGTACTTATTATTGTACTAGTATCTGTATATTTAGTCTAATATTTAGTTAAGCTAAATTTTACCAGATCAGAGCTTTGTTTTCTATGAATGATAAATAAATGGTATAAACTATAAAATTAAGGTCTACAGAGTTTAAATTAATATTAAAGGTATTTATCTATTACAATTTATAGTAATATTTCTGATTGTTTTTAAAAATTTTAAATACTTAAATAATGTAATTACGTACCTGATTTTTTCGTTGAAAGTTAAGTTTGGCAGCACTAAAAGGGTTATTGGCTTTTCCAAAACTAATGTCTTTTACTTTGACATTATTACCCCCATGCATTTTCATTTCATGTTTACGTCGATAATCATGGTCAAACGAACTTCCACATGACAAACATTCGACCTTAGTACGTTTGCGTTTTATTTTATTGTTGTCACACATATTTAAAAACGTAGTACTAATTATATTAATATTATTTCAAAATGTAAACATATAAATGCACTTTGCTACTTTCTAACGAGACGACGTATTACAACTATATTAAACAACTATGATTATAAATATTGTTTCATGATAATAACTATTACATGTTCAGCAAGCTGTTCGTCAAAAATATTACTATGTCTATTTTTATCGTCAGTATGCGATAACGTTGAGTGGTAAATACGTCCTGCTAAGTGCCAACTGCCAAACGGCGACCGTTTGCTATCTGGGTTCCAGGAAATACGTTTATTTAGCCCGTGTAAATGTATAATACAATAAATGTGAAATGTCGATATTAATTTTAGCTGCAGAGGCACAATTGGCCCATTATACTTAAAATAGAACATACTTTTCCACTATGGTTTATTTTTATTTTTTTTCATATTTTTCATATTTTTTTTTATTTTTATATTTTATACATATTTTTTTTGTATTTGACGATGTGTTGATGTGCCGACTGAAATATTAGGTTAAATGAGTGAGGGGTCGTGACGACCCCTTAAACCCCCCTTCGCTCCGGCCCTGAAAGAGCAGCTTTAAATGCAATCGAAACGGAGTTTTGTAATACCGAGGTAAAAGGTTGCTTCTTTCATATGTCGCAATACATTTGGCGTCATATCCAAGAATGGGGCCTACAGACAACTTATCGAAATGATCCAGAGTTTTCATTACGAATTCGAATGCTACCAGCATTAGCTTTTATTCCAGAAGCAGATGTAATAAAATGTTATAATGCATTACTAGTTACAAATTATTACACAGATAATGAAGATCTACTGGCGCCGCTGATGGATTATTTTGAAATACAGTAGAACTTCGATTAACCGTCACTCTCTGTTATCCGTCATCGGTCATCGCCGAAAAAAAAAATAATTAGGCGATTAGACGATTGTGATAAACTCGTCGTGGTGCCCAACACAGTAACTATAAAGTGTATAAAAATAGTTTGTAATATGTACATATCCAATATGAACGATAAACATGATAAACGAACTATAAATTTATGTGTGTATGTATTGTAATTTAATCAGTGACCGACGTACAGCCTACGTGTAAGTGTGTACCGTGTGTATTAGTGTTTTCGTAGTTTATGTGTCGTGTACACACACGTAAAAATATAATAAATGTGTGTATATGTATGTACACGTTTTTTTTTTTGCAAAATTTCCGTTAATCGAAGTTCTACTGTACATGGGTAGAAAAATTAGACAGGAGAGGAAAAAGAAAGCCGCCAAAGTATGCAATCACATTATGGAACTGTTTTTCAAGAGTAATTCAAGATTTGGCTACCACAAATAATGCTATAGAAGGATGGCACAATTGTTTCACATCAGTTGGAAATCAAATTGGAAACCGATAAGCAGTTTAGATCAAATTTGGTATGTTTTTAAAATATGTGTTTTGCTAGATTATAACTATGATTAATATTAAGTGTTTGTATGCAGATTCACCCCTAGTTATATTATAGTAAACATATTTTGAACAACAAATTATGTTAATATTGTTTGCTTTAGATAACTTAAAATTCATTTCCAAGTATAATTGTCATCTGTAAATGTTAAAAATCTTAAATAATAATAAGGATCCAGATCATTCCCGTTATCTAGCCTATATATGAATCACATTTTGTTTATATTATATAATATCTAATATTATTTAATAAATTCTTTATTTTTATACAGTTGTACCTATCATTTTTATTTCAGAATTTTACCTTTTGAATTATAGTTATAAATTATTGATGTATTGAAAATAAGATGAATATTAATATTATCTCTTTCAGATGCCTTAAGAGGTTCATCCCAAATTCAAAACTATTATAAACAAAGAATTTGATATTCCATTAGCAACATGGTTAGCGCATGCAAAATTTAGAATACACAACAAAAATATTGACAAAATAACTAATAATAACAGTACAACTCTTTAAAAAACATTTTCTATTAAACTTTTTTGTACTATTATTTAATATTTCAAACAAGAGGAAAAGGAATTTGTTTTAATTTAATTTTTTACAATTTTATATTATTATATGTATCATGTATCTTATATATTGTTTCGTACATTTTGTTTATGTATAAATAATAAATAATTTGAAGAAATACGTACCTATATATATGTATAATAACTTAGACTAAGCTTGATAATGATTTTTTCTCTTTTGCATCAGTCCAATTATATGATGCAGCAAATTTATCAGTAAAAAGTTTTCTTAAAATCAATTTTGTAACATCATCTGTTTTATTTCCTCCTATTCTGCAAACAGCATTAAACTAGAACAAAATGTTTTTCTTGTAAAAATACATTTTAAGTTTTTAGGAAGAATAGTGAACAAATATATTTAACTTTGTAGTTTTTTAATTACTAATTTATAAAATGTATACTCATATGAGTTTATTAAGAACTTTTAGAAAATTAGATTTCAAATACAAATATACATTCAAAATAACATTTGAAATATCTAGTAATAAAAAATGTATTTGAAAAATATTTTCAATTCAGTAAGACTTATTGTATTTGTAATAATGTAATAATAAAATATAGAATAATATATATTATATAAAAACATATAGTATATACAATTTAAGATTCCACTAACTTATATTTTAAATGTATATGTATAGTAATTATTACAACTTTAAAGATATTATACGTATACAGGGTGTTCCAAATTTCATGTGACAGCATATTTTAGCATGATATACTTAAATTAGAAAAAAATGACCTATTTAAAAACCTCTTTGAATCATATAACCTAAACTAATTTAATATTATTTATATTTCTTTATTAATTAAAAAGGGGAAATTTTAGGGGTAACTTTTAAAATTCAAATAAGAACCTATATTTTTGAAATACAATTCATATAGTATTTATTATTTTATGAATTTTGACGAATCATTCATAATTATGCGTTAATAATTAGAGAAGTTATTTACATTTGAATTTTGTATTTAAATTGTAAAATGGCATCAATGAGTAATAATAATCATATACTTTTGTGCTTCCGTTATACGCCGATGCATTGTTGTACAACCTTAATAATCTGTACGCTATCTAACTATCAATTTATTATAGTAATAAAATGTGTATTTGGTATCTTAATTTGATTTTATATTACATAGGTCAAATCATATTATATTGTACTTCTAATTATAATCAAAATGCTATTATTGGAACGGTATTTACCTTTTCAATAATAAAATTGTACATAACATTTATTATTTATAATATAAAATTATAAACAAATATCATACAATTGATAAATAATAGATAATTGTACCAAATTGTTGTATAAAATATTTTATACAGCATACAATTGTTTAAAATTTATAAAAATAAGTTACCTACCCGTATTTTTTGACTAATGAAGGTACCTATATATATTTTTTCATTTAAATAATAAGTAATAATACATCTATTTTCATATATTGTTTAAATCAACTTAATATTAGATACATACCATTTCTAAACACTGCAAAATGACAACATTGATTTTAAAAACTTGTATGATTAAACTTCGCGTTCAACATGAATAATGCTAAATGATGCATATAAAATCAAACACAGTTCGTCATTAGACATCGCATAGTCAACACGTACCTTATCGCGTCTCACGAGTACCGTCTTTAATAACTTGCGATAGCAATACAGCATTCAACCTACACTCGCCGTATCTCAGGTAATATGCTCGTTAATTACACTATTAGCTAATACATAATAAACTCTCCGGGCGCAAGGCCCAACCACCAAAATGCAAACTTCAAAACCAGCGGATTTGAAAAGCCCTTCAATCCGCAAAACAGTACAAACTAACATTGTTCAAAAACCAAAAATTAAAACCCCACCAACCAATACAACAAAAATCATCGCTAAACCCATTTCACCCAAAACAACATCAGACCTCAAGTATCACCAACAATCTACCTCCACAAAGACATCCATTGATAATTACCCAGAAACCCCAACTAACACGGACAATAGTAAACAATCATTCGCTTCTACTGTTGCAAATAGCTTAATACCGAAAAAATATCAAGCTATAGTAATCGATATAAATATAAGCTTGACACACAAAGATTACATAATTGCTATTGGCAAACTAGTTCAACCTTCCAATATTCTATTTGCGTCCCGCATATCTAAAGAACGTATATGTATATTCCTATCGAGCAAGGCACTAGTTGATAATCTAATTGAAAAGCACCCATACATTCTAATACAAGAAAAACAATTCAAATTACGCAAACTTTACAACCCAAACATAAAAATCATCTTGTCCAACGTATACCCTAACATACCCCCGGACATTATCGCAAACGAACTCGTCAAACTAAATATATCTCTATGCAGCCCGATAACTTTACTAAAGGTGGGCATCCAAGTCGAATAGTTTACACACATTTTAAGCTTTCATCGCCAAATGTTCATTAAACATGAAGATATTACTAAAATTCCTACATAAATTCTTATCAACTACGAAGACACTAACTATAAGATTTTTCTATCTGACGACGCCCTAAACTGCTACATATGCCAGTCCCAAAGATATACAGGGTGATTTTTTTATCGTGAACCAGTTAATATCTCGGGAAGTATAAGGAATTTTAAAATAATTTTTTTTTTTAACTTTCTAGGTTTTACTTTTTTACACTGTGTTACAATTTTGATAATTTTAACTTACTCCCTTATTTGATAAAACACTATCAACTTTTGATTTTCAAATAGCAATACCTATTTTCGTTAACAAAAATCTATAGACATACTGAAAAAAATAAATTTAACGTTTATAGAATTTAATTTGAGTAATCCGTTTACGATTTATTAATGTTTCAATATTCGTTTAATTTACTGCTACTGAGCAATCTTACAAACCCAACAGTAAAAACCAGAAGTCAAAACGAAATTTTATTTCAATTTAACACTAGCCATTGGGGTCATAATTGATAATAACAAGATAGATAAACAATACTATTAGATAAAAAAAGTGTTTATAAAATGGTTATATAAATGGTTATCAGCTATATGTAAAGTATAAAAATAACATTTTATAATTTACCATTATGGTTACACAATATAACACTGGTTACTGTTTCCTGGTATACGGTCTTATCACGTATTAGTAGATAAACGATAATAAATGCCGGTAAACTGTTTCTGAAAACATGTGGTTTTTGGTTAATCGTTAATGTTAGTTTCGATTATCAAATATTTTTATTTTTTTTTTCCTTTATTTGAGATAAACAATCTTATACCCTATGGGCACAATAAGTTTATATGGTTAGAGTAATTTATTACATGGTACGCTTGACGAGAGAAGTCATCCACTGATGACACTCAATATTGATTTTTTTTTTTTTTTTTTTTTATATATAAAATTTAAGCAACTGATGCTCTGACTTTGGATTAGTTGATGGGAGGGGGGTGAGCAAGTAGGTCACGATACCATTTTCGTTTTAAACGTCTGGGTGGGTTTCCAGGAATCGAAAGGACTGCAAGATTACGTATTAGCGGGTTGCTATTAGAGGAAAGACGGTTGTGGAAGCGTTGGTAATGAGCTATATATATATAGCTTCTTCGCGTACCAATTTCATTTTTAAATCAGTGTGAATAGTGTGGTTTGAAACGTAAGGAGGAGTATTTAAAAGTTTTCTAAGTGCTATGTTTTGTATTTTATTTATGTTTGATTTTTTAGCATTACCCCATAACTGAATGCCATAGGTCCAGACTGGTTTTATTAAGCAACATGCAACTGAACGAAGTACAACAT